CCACGCCCAATGTGCATGCCCTGCGTGCTTGGATATTCTTCTCAGTGGTTTAAGAGTTAAAATTACTTTATCCCCTTCTTCTTCTTCCGCTCCTCCTCCTCATTATTTTGTCTCATTTTCTTTTCTTTGATAAGTATATTGTTAAATGAACGATGATTTTAATATAATGCCTCTCCACAACTATAAACATTACTTTAAATATTTCCAGGCGTTCCAATCTTCCTTGTAACTATAATCAATTGGTCAATAGTACAATTGAAGAAGACTTTGTGCCCAAGCTTTGGAAAATTGGAATGGCATGACAGAATAATACAAGATAAAGTTGTAATAAAGATATGGTCAAATTGCATGCTTGTAGATTGGAATGGTTCATGTGTGAAGTGACACTAGGGAATTTTGCTCTGGCTTTTCAGTGTCGTGTGGCAGTGCGGCACTGGCAGACAACACACACACACACTTGTTCTCTCTCTCTCTCTCTCTCTCTCTCTCTCTTCCTTTTTATTTGCAAGTTTGCAAAATCTACCACAAAGGTCAGCTTCTAGGTTAAAAATGACTAGTACAAGTCTTTGACTTCAGATCCGGACCATAAACAAACGCATTTTTACCATAAACAATCAAATAAAGAGAATTGACATGCATGCAGAAAAAAGTAGTATTTATCATATATATATATATATGTAAATATATGAGTGATCTCCTTTGCCTCTAAACATTACTTAATAATAAGCAGACCTTATCTTCTACAGAACAGACTCATATTTATTTACATTCTTTGTTTTACACATAATCTTCAGCATCAATTGAAAAACATTCATGCTTCTACCAAAAAAAAGGGTTACCAGCACTAATTCTGAATTAGCAATTTATTTTTCTAACTTAAGTCATTCCACCAAATCAAGTGAATTCCTTGTGATTTTTTTGACTGGCCTTGTTTGCTTCTCAGTTGTTTTCTAGCACAGGTCATGTACAATCTTTCAAGCCATCAGCTCACATGTTACTATTATAAAACCCCATAAAATAATTAAAAAATCTTCCTGTCAATGGGGATATTAAATGACTTTTTCTCATTTTATTCAATTTGATCACTGTGGAAGTTGGAGGAAGAAAGAAAAGTGAAAAAGAAGACAATGAATTTGAGAGGGAGAGAGAGAGAGAGAGAGAGAGCAGATAATGCTTGTCACTAGGGAAGTTTGAGGAAAAGAAGGGTGAAAACAAGACCTAGATTGGTGTCCTCCTCATTTCTAACAATAATAATGGCACTCTATATATTTAAATATTGAACTTTTTCTTTCTAATAATCCAATGAAAAAGTTGATCCTTCACCCCTGTCATAGTGTTGAGAGAAAGCTCCTGGAAGGTGCAAGGAAAGCTCCTGTGGAAGGTTGAAAAGCTTACCTCCTCAATGCAGAGGGAGAGAGAGAGAGAGAGAGAGAGCAGATAATGCGTATCACTATGGAAGTTTGAGGAAAAGAAGAGTGAAAACAAGACTTGGCATCCAAATAACGGGTGTCCTCCTCATTTCTCAAGCTCATGTAAGTCACTATGGCAGTCTATATCTTTAAATATTGAACTTTCTTTTTCTTTTTCTTTCTCATAATCCAATGAAAAAGTTGATCCTTCACCCTTATGGGAAATTGCCTATGAAGCTCTCTTTCATCAAAAGAGTGGTTCTAATTCAATTGAAAGTTAGTTCTCTGTAATCATAACATTTTTCGTAAATGTAAATAGTGTTTCTAAAGCAATTTTAAATCACTCTTCTTTTCCTCAAACTTTACTTCGAAAAAAAATATATTAAAAAAGTTACTAGATATGTAAATTTTTATAAATTGTTAGGCACAAAATAGTTTTTGTGTATGGTATGTCACATCAGTCAGATAAAAGACACAATTTTTTTTGTGTCTGTCTAAATAATCACTTACTTTTCCTTCAAAAAAGTATCAGATAATAAATATATAATATTTGTGCCACAATTTTTTGTGCCCAATGTAAAATCGTGTCCTATGTGCATGAACTTAGCACCATTATTCGTGTTTTATAAGAAATAAGTACAAATATAATTTATTTGTGTCAAATATTAAAAAAACAATATTTTATTTGTGCCCTTATTCCTGTGGTCTTTGACCAGTTACGCCAAAAGAATATCAACTCAAATATAAATGCTGAGTATGAAATTGATGTAAAAAAAAAACTCATTGTATGGTTGACATTAGGGCTTCGTTTGTTCAACCTCGGAAAAATTAATATAATAAGAATTTTGTGGCAACTTTGTTAATTTTTAATTTTAGTTTTTTTTATTAATTTGTTGATAGTCTGTTGCAAATCGGAAGATGATGAATTTGGTGGAAATTGGGTTGGTAATTATTTAGGAATTTATCCTATTCGGTTCCACACAAACATTTGGGCCTGCACTAGATTAATTAATTTATCGGAATTCGAATTTAGGTGTAAGGGAGTTTTTATTTTATTTTTATCGAAATGTAAGGGAGTTTAGACATGTCGTTTATATTATCATCAATATCAAAAAGTGGCTCATAGAGAATGCGAAGGTCTAACTCCTTATCAACCCATTCTAGCCACCATTGAATTTTCAGAAATTTCAATAGATTAATGTTCTTTCACTACTAATAGCGGGCTTTAGGCACAAATATTTTTTGTGCTCTTTAGTGCAAAAGGCATAATTATTCGTGCTCTATGTTAATAGTCACAGTGCAACCACAACAAATTTGTCGGTTACCTCTATTGAGTACATTAATTGGATAAATGAATTCGTCACCTTCCGAATCCTATCATTCTTCTCCACTTCCCCTTCACCAACCAAGTCAGCCCCAAAGGCTTGTTCATTTATTCTTTTCATTGCTTAATTTGTTGTGTCTTTGATTCCATCATTCTTATTCTTGTTAATAGCCCAAAGTCACGAGAGCCTTCTTCAGCTACTCGGTTTCCTTACTTGCAATAGCATTCACTATGAGTTGATCTCAATGCAATTTTTCAACTTTCACCTACTCCTTCATCTATTTCAGTATTTCTTCTCGTACTGCAATAGCATTTCATGTTAAACCATGCTACCACCCTAATTGACCAGATTAATCATGGCATAAATTCTCTAAACCCATCTCTCTGTCTCTGTCTGTCTCTCTCTCTCTCTCTCTCTCTCCCTGTGTGCCTATAAAAATGAAAAAAACAAGTTCATAATATTCACATTTTGAAGCATAAGAAAGTCCATCTATCTAGCTAGCAAAATCCCAAACCATGAAACCCTTCTTTAGCCACTTCATTTTGCTGCTTGCAATTTCAACACTTGTCATGTCTCAAGATTCCTGTACTGTTGGTCTTGGTCCTCAGTCTGGCAACTACCATGTGGAAATTCGAAACCACTTGAGCCATGACACCATTTTGAAGGTGCGCTGCAAGTCTGGTGGTGGAGATCTGGGTGACCATTGGATTGTAAATGGGCAGCGTTTCACTGTTGGTTTCCACAATGACAAATGTGTCTCGACCGAATACTGGTGCAAGCTAAGTTGGGGTTCCAAATCCAGCCATGGCGGCAACTATCGCTTCTTCAGCTGTGAAGAATCGTTTCTCAAGTTCTGTAATTTCCAGGACTGCAGTTGGAAGGTTAGGGATGATGGGATATATTTGCATGACATGCATGGACTAAAAGATGTGAAATATTATGACTGGGAGAGCTAAATTGATCTTTATATCAAGGTCAGAGTCTCAGATTGGCCCGTGGTACAAGAGGACTTATGGAATAAATAAAAAACCATGGATTTTATATTTATGGTTGTAAGAACTTTTTTTTTTTTTTCCTTTTAAATGGCACTTGAGATATAGCTCATGGGCCTTTTTTTAAATCTATATATAATAAATTGACTGTTGTCTGATGGATTTAAAACACCCGAGCCTTCATTTTGGTGGGTTAAGCACCATGGTTTACTTAGTGGGTTTCATACCAAGGTTTTGTTTTGTTTTTTTTTGTTTTTTTTTTATAGATTTAAAACCCAGACGATCCATGGATATATTTCATCCAAATAATGTTTTCCACCCAAAATGAATTCATGATCAAGTGAAAAAATTTATAGGTTTTATATCAAATAATGAATTTCTCATTCAAGTAAAATTTGTGAGTTTCTCGCCCAATGATAGGTTTATCACACGAAGGATTTGATTGAGAATTAAGTACCCATTTAAGTGAGGCTTAAACACCCGTGACTTTGATTAAGGGTTCAACACAGATATTTGAAAAGAGACAACAGCAGCTAGCTCGTAGGCTGTCTTTTGGCTTCTTCATTCTCGGACCCTTGTTACCTGCTGTCATGCTATTTATAAACTGGGGTTTGGGAGACTGAGGATGAGGATCACTTCAAATTTGAAAAGCCCAACAACATGATCTGATTATCCTCTTCTGTCAAAAGCCTGATCCCTTCCTTTTCGTTAGGTATAAGATCAGAGGCGATTTGATTGTAACAACCAAAGATATAGTGCACGTGAGGATCAGACTCACTAGTCCAACCCCACTTTTTCTTTTTGAATTTTGAATTTTTTTTTATTCAAAAAATTAATCATATATCAGTTAGTCTTGGATAATATCTTGAGCAGTAAACGCATTGCATGCTATTCCAAGTGTAGATATATATGCAGAGGCTATACAATGCTGCATGCATGGCTTAACTCGTGTCAAGCTGCTAATTCTACCTTCTTCTTTTTTTATATATCATCTTTGACCACCCAATACCGTAAGACTATATAAAGCTAGAGAATCAGAAACATTCAGCCAAATTAGCAGCAACCAAAATGAAGATCAAACCATGCCAATCCTACGTTTCCATGTTCTTGCTTATCTTTCTAGTCTGTCTGATGAGCCAAACACTAGTCACTGATTCGCTATTCGACAAGATACGGGTGCATGTTGTCAACAGCTTCCAAAACGAGACTCTCGAAGTTCATTGTAAATCCAAGGACGATGATCTCGGGCTTCACCATATCCCCCCGAATCAGGAATTCAATTGGCATTTTCGGATTGCCATTTTTAAGAAAACTCTCTTCTTCTGCGATACGTGGTGGAGGGGTGGAAAAGCCAGTTTCCATGCCTTTTCTGCCGAAGAAGGTTTTCTCAAGTTTTGTGGTGATGGAAATTGCATGTGGAGAGCAAATGACGATGGGATGTCCTTGCTTGATTATCACCACCGACAATATCATCTCATGCATAGATGGGAATCATCCTAACTTCAAAGATCATGTATAAAGTGATCATCTTGCTTATAGGTGGTGATGATATAGATAATAAAAAACATATTCTCATTACTTGATCATGTTTAATTTCTAGCGATAAATGAAAGGTCTTTCCACATGGCTCACAATATTATGTGCTTCAACCCTATATCACCAGTATGGGAAAGTTGAGAAAAGAGTTGGATCCTAAATAATTCTGTAACTCCTTTCTTATTATAATCCCATTCAATAAATTTAAATGCTTATAAATTGTGGATCTTTCTTCAATATGACAAAAAACAAAATATTTTTTATTTTTTATTTTTCGAAAGTTAACTTTTATTTATTTAGCACAAACTAAATTACAAGGAAATGGAAGTTTCTCACACACATGTGTAATAAGGGTTCGAACCTGAAATAACAAGTCTGTAAGTCAAGACTTTTTTTTCCACTTGACCAGACCTCATTGGCTCCAAAGCCAACTTTAAGACCAAGAAGCAAGCAAACGATGACAAACAATTATAATAAGGCCACCTCCACCGCAGCCCAATTTGCCAGGGCAAGAGGCCCCCCCCCCCAACAGGGTTTGGACCTCCAGTGCAAGAAAGAGAGCCCTGGGTCCCACAAGCCCAAGAGCATATCTTGCCTGGGCTTCAGCCAGAAGACTCTGACGTCAGCTAGCGAACAAAATCCATAAAAATTGATAAAAATTCAATTTTTTATTATTAAAAAATACCAAAAAATTATGGACATTTTCCCTATAAATACATAACAATTTTATTCACTTTCCACACCAAATCCTTATACAAACTTTTCTCCTTCCAATATTTGTAAATTGTAATCATTTTTTTTTCTTGCATAATCATTTTATTTCTTACATTTCTAAATTGTTTATATTTTGTTGCATATTCTTTTTTTTTTTTCTTGCCCTTGGCCTAGCCTTTTGGGGTGAAACCAAAAAAGACAAGACTATCACTATTTGCATGAATAGTGGCAGCCCTCAGCCGCAGAACACCCCCCCCCGAGGGGGGGGGGGGGGGGGGGGGCGCTAGAGCAGCCACTATTCACGTGAATAGTTGATGTCCTTGCAAAAGGTTGTGGTGTTTTCACCAATTGTCATGACAACAACTATTCACATGAGATATGAGGAGAGAAATTTGTATAGAGTTTTGATGTGGGGAGTGAAAACTACAACTAAGTATTTATTTAAAAAAGATCTAAAAGTTTTTGTATTTTTTTTTTAAAAATTTTTGTTGCTGCGTCAGCAAATTCGATCTGGAACTAAGGCAGATCTTGCCTAAAGGCTAGCTTGGGTTCGTGGGCCCCATCTCCTGCCAGGGCTAGCCCTTGCTGCTGGAAACAGTTTTTGGGCCTAAACCCCCCCTGCCCTTGTTTCTGGAACTACTCTTAACCTTTTGAGGTAGACATGCTTTCTAATGCATATTTTGTTAGACCATCTCCAACCATGGGAGGTCAAACCTAAAATTTGAGATTTTTAGCCCAAAACCTTCTCCAACCCATGTATTTGGAGGGGGGGTAATTTGAGTGGACTGAAAAATGGGGTGGAATTTCACCTCAGATTCCAGTCCAGGCAGAATTTTTGTGGGGCCCATTTCGCAAAAGACAAGAGACATGTGAGGCCACATTTGAAGCAAATGATGGGCTGTTGCCCACTACCCCAAGTTGCTGGCCACTTGTCAAAGCCTAGGCAACTTAAAAATTGGACTTCTATGGCTGCAAATAAAATGGGCTTCTTTCAATTTTTTTTTTTTCAAACCTAAAGGCTAGAAATCAACGGCTGATATTAAATTTTGGCTGGATCAAAGGGAAAAAAATTAATCCAACAGCTGAAATTTAAATCCAAAGGTCAAAATAAGTAAATATATTATTATAAGTTGGATGCAACCTCAAAACATATCCTAAACTCTATAAATACCCATCAATTTGTTAATAAAATTATGTTTGTGAAATTTCAAAAAATTTATGTCAAAATGTTCAAAAAAATAAATCATGAAGTAATATGCAAAAATTAATTTCAAAAAAATTAACCACAAAAACAAAATAGGATTATATTACTCTTTAATAATTTAATAAAGTTGCAGACTCAAATTATGAGTCCGCAAGGTTGGAGGAAAAAACAGTTTGAGTCCTAAAAATACATGAATAGTTGTATTTTGGAGGGTGAAAATTTGAGTTTAGCCATAACATGATTGGAGATGGTCTAAGGGGTCCTTAATAGTTGTCCGGTCAATTGCAGAGCTATTATTGGACACCTGATTAATGTAGTCCCAAAAGAACTCACAAAACAACTAGGCCTTGGGCTCACTTAAAACTCAAATTGAATTTGGTTGTTACCTAATTAAGAGGCCTCAATAGTCTTATTTTAATAGTGAAGGCCCAATTAAAATCCCGAATAGAAACACAGCCTTTTGTCTATGATATATAGCCGCATCGCATAAACAGACTCAATGACTTGTTTCTAAAGACAACTTCGCACCCTTCAAAACTTTTACACCTCTCTCTCGAAACCAAGAAATGGGTCAGGGAACTCCGGGCGGGTTGAACCGGCAAGGCCTACCGGGCGACCGAAAGCCCGACGGGAACGATAAGAAGGAGAAGAAGTTCGAGCCGGCGGCTCCGCCGGCCCGAGGCGGGCGAAAGCAGCGCAAGCAGAAGGGGCCCGAGGCCGCGGCCCGGGGCCCCCCCG